CTCAACAATTCTCACAATTACAATTTTATTCTTCTTATATAATAGAAATGGTGAATTATTTGCTACCCTATTTTCCCTTTAGGTTTCAATCATCTCAACAGACTAAGTATCATTTTTTTTAATTCCCTATTTCTTTTATTTTTTAAGGCCGTGAATCAATCCCGAAAATAATTAAATCGAAAATTCTTATTTTTAACTTAACCGTTATAAAATAAATTAACGGAGAAGGAGACCTAAAAAAACCAATTAAGCAAGGGGCAAAATCGCAAGTGAATCGGCCTAAAACTGTTTAAATTATTTCAAAACAATGATCAAATCAGTCCCAAAAAGTGCTTAAAACCCTAAAAAAATTAACACTTAAAAGTGTCCAAATCAATGTATAAAAGCCTCAAAATGCAACTTAAACCTTAACGAATAAAGCTTCAAAATGACGAATAAGACTTCAAAATGTAATTTAAACTTTAACAAATAAAGCTTCAAAATGTGGCTCAAACATTACTAAAGAGAGCTTTAAGATGCAACCCAAACATATCACTAAGACAGGGCAAAAACATCTTAAAAACAACCAGCAAAACCCCTCTTAAATAGGGCAAAACTGCAACCCGAATCAGTTTAAAAGACGTGTTTTAAAAGCTCTAAACTGAAGTCAATTCAGCCCACAAAACATGTTTTTAAAATGCTCCAAAGACTTTCAAACCTTCAAAAATAAAAATGAATCGGAGAGACTTCCAAATTTCCCTAACACTTAAAACTTTCAGGTTTTGCAAAAATAAAGCATTGAGACTTTCCTAAGTTTCCAAATAAAACTCTTAAAGTTTCCAGAAGTAAAGTATTGCCACCTTCCAAACCTTCCAAAATTGAATATGAGAAGTTTCGGATTTTGCAAATGTAAAGCACCAATGCCATAAATCTTTGCAAATAAAATATGCAACATCTTAGATTTTCAAATAAGTATAGCACCAAAGTATTTATAAACTTTTCAAGCTTTGTAAATGTAGCATATAAACTTTCAGATTTTTGTAAAAGTGGGGCATCACAACTTTCCAAGCTTGCCAAAATGTAAACTAGAATGTGATCTTAATCATGTTTTAAAATTATTCAACTAAGGAGCAAGTAAAGAGCAAAGGAAAACTCCTAAAGTTTTCAGATTTTGTAAATGTACCACCTAAATGTTTTAGATTTTGTAAATGTGCCACTTAAATGTTTTATATTTTGCAAACGTGCCACCCAAATGTTTCAGATTTTACAAATACGCCACCCAAATATTTTAGATTTGCAACTATGTCATTCAAATGTTTCAGATTTTGCAAAAAAGTCACTCAAATGTTTCAGATTTTCCAAATATGCCACCCAAATGTTTCAGATTTTGCAAATGTGCCACCCAGTATTTTCAGATTTTGCAAATAAACAACCCACAGTTTTTCAGATTTTGCAAATAAACCAAATGCTTGAAATATCGCATGGTAAGGATAATATTGTTCGCCAAAAACTTTTGATAGTCAACATATAGAGATGTTATGCCAACATTTTCCATCTTTAATAGTTGATTCGTGGAAAGATTAGCAAGCCAGGTAAGAGCCCTCTTTGCTCTAGAATCAGGTAACATAAGATGGTCATTTAGAACACAAAAAAAAAAAAAAAGACTTTTTTTTTTTCAGGTTTGTTTTCTTTGGTATAAAAAGACTTTTTTTTTTCAGGTTTGTTTTCTTTGGTATAAAAACCAAGTAAATATGTAGTTTTCCTTTTGCAGTCCCAAGATTCTTAAGGAACAACATAACTTTGATGGGATGGATCAATATTCATGCTACAAAATCATGCCTAGGATTTAATGGAACGAGAATAACACATTCATCTACATGCACTTCCTAAATGTACATTCTCTAAGCTATCAAAGTGAGAGACATTCACGAGAAATAAATATTCAGGGCAATAGCAGAACCACAATTAAAATGCTTATACCTTAGTCAAACACGCAGTCTAGCAAGAGTATTGTGCAACCTAACAAGAATGTCGAACAAACCAGCAAAAATACATAACCCCAAGCAAGAATGCCGAACAACCAGCAAGAGTGTCGAACATGACAAAATTTTGGCAGTAGATCCTTCTCCCCAAGCTTCAACAACCACCAAGCAAGCTAGGGAAGAACCAACCAAGAAGAGAGAAATACCCAAATTTTTTTTTGGCAGCACCTCCCCTTTCTCCAGAATTTCAGCCAACCTCAACAACTCCCCAAAGCGGGTTTTTTATAGCCACAGGAAAAGGGGGAGGGTCATGCCCACCTATGTGAAGTGGTCGAATAAGGTATCGGGAGAGGAAGAATCACATTTAGGGAGAGGGGAAGGCAACCTTGAGAAGGAGAAGAGTCGGACAGGAGGTAGCTCGCGATTGGCGAGTCGCTCGGTCGAGCGGGGCTTGAGGGGGTGAGGCGCGTCTGGGTCGCGAATGGGAGAGGAGCGCGGAATGTGGCCTCTGGTGCGGCCGATCGTGGGAGCTAGGGCACGAGGGGGGCGAGCCAGGCTTTATTTATGTTTATTAATTAGAGTTTGATTTATTTGTGCTCGGAACTCTAGCAAAGTGGGTATCCTCCCTGGGTAAAATTGACGCTCCGGACGTGTTGGCGCAGTTCATTTCGTCATTCGGGGTCGTTTGGACGAATTCATTGATTTGCATGTGATTTGCTCGTGTGTAGAATTAGAGCAATATGAGTGTCATTCCCAGCTAAAATCGACGTTTGATACGTGCCGGCGCAGTCCGCTTCGTCATCAGAGGTCGTTCGGAGAAGTTCACACATTTTTTTTAAGTTTAATTTTAGTCTGACTTTGCGCAACCTAGTGGATTGTGTATTTTGTGCGTGTGAGTGTGTTGATAAAGTCTTAATGAGGTTTCCCTAGGGCTTGAGATCCTATTGGGAACTTCTCTTTGAGCCTCCACATGGTAGTTCTTAATCACTCGATCAAATGGTGATGGTTTGAGATCACCCATGCGAGACACCATAAGAGAATCAGGAAGTTGTTTGAATTTCTAGAAGGGGTGGGTCCCAGCTCTAGTCTTCTAAGATAGTCGATTGGAAGCCCTATGACTAGATCCTAGGCTCTAGAAGAAAGAGTGAGGAAGACCTCAAAATGAGGTCAACAACTAGGGAATAAGTAATAGATATCTTCACAAAGTCACTTAATGTAGCCAGGGTCACTTATATTTGTAACAAAGCTAGACATGATAAATATCTATGCTCTTGCTTGAGGGGGAGTGTTATGGTAAGTAACAAGTTTGAATCTTGTATATTAGGAAATTTGATATTTGTCAACCTAATAGAAGATTACATGATATTTTCTATATTAAAGTTTCCTAAGGTAGAGGGTTGGGAGTGTGTATAAATATGTAATATATGCTCTCAATTGTGTATAAGAAAAAGAGGAAGTTTTCCCATTTCAATTTGGGATAAATTCAGATTTAGTTGTTGGCGTTATCAATTCAACATTTTGTTCCACTTTGTTTCTAATTACTAATTTTTCACTTTCTGAATCCTGTTTGTGGCACTTTTCCTGCACTTGACCTTCTTTACCTTTTCTGAATTTCCATCCAATTTTCCAATATGTTGTTTTTATTGGCTGCATCCTATTGTTGTTGCTGTTGATTTCAAGATAGTCTGATTGTAAGGAAAATACAACTCTAGTTCCTCTTATATTGTATAAAACAATTTCTCTTTTTATTTATAAAGAAGAAATGTTAGACTGCCAAAAGATACAGTAAAATTTTCAAAATGCTCTTCATGAGCTTTGTTTGATACTGGACAAAGTCTAATGTAGACTGTTTTTCTCGCAAGACAAATACTAGGCTTCCATAAAAGGAACTTAACAATGTGACAGTCAGCTTGAGATGGCCCTTATTAGGAAATTTAAATTTGTAAACAAATGAAGAAGTCGTTTCATAATTGAAATATGAGAATATTTGTAAAAACAATAAATTGAAATTCTGTACCTATCCTATTTTGCAACCTAGGAGTTGACTCTATTAACATATGTTTTGAAGGACGTAAAAAAAATATTTTGCTTTGATAAAGTGTGGCTTTTTAGTTTTAAGTCTTTTGGTTGTGAGTTGGATGTGGTTCATTTGAATACGCACCTAATATAGGGAAAGTCATCTCATTATTTTGGTGTGAGTTCTCATTTTCATACATTATTTGATAAGACTTATTTTATCCTCATGATTTTGATCACAAATGTGACATCAAAATCTGAATAGTTGATTTTATATATGATTTTTTTTTTTAATGAAAATTTCATATTCTTTCTGATCGTTTCATCATCAGGTGGTTTTAAACTCTAATATTGCATGTTGTGAAGTTAGTTTTGTATACTTGGTGATTTGTAATTTTTTATCCAATATTTCATTTACATACGTACCACCCAGTTCCAATGTATTTACATATCTATCATCTAAACTTTACTTTTTACATTTATACCACCCAAATCTTATATATCACTTGAAAAATACAACCATTTTAGTTTTTAAAAAGTGAAAATACACCTTCATGCATAGGTGAAGTGATATGTATCTAAAATTTCAAGTTTGGGTGTTGGATATGTAAGTACATAAGATATGAGTGGTATGTAGGTAAATCTTCTTTTTATTTTCACGTCTTGATAGATAAAAACATATGTATTGTGGTTGATTCTCTTATATTAATGGCCATAACTTTTTTTAATACCTCCTGCAAATCTCACCAAAATCGAGTTGAGAATGAGGATTCATCAAGTTTGGCCCAAATAATTGGGGATTAGGCTAATGATGATGACGATTCTCCATCAAAAACAAGTTTTATACCAACTTGTTCCTGCACATGAATAAATCTCTATAAAAAGTTACCCCGAAGTTGCTTTTTTGGTCCCTACTTGTAATATATATACAAATAATTCACAACATTTTTTCCCCCAACCTTTTCAGAAAACATTTATTTTCCCTTTGGTACCCAAGTACACGAGTTAATCGTAATTTTACAGGTTCCCTAGGGTCTGATAAACCTCGTGTTGGCCATATTTCAACAGGAGGCGCAGCAGCAGCAGCAGCAGCAGCAGCAGCAACAACAACAGCAACAAAAGGTAAGTTTTAAGCCTGAAAAGCTTTAACTAATCTTCCTTCAAATGTTCTAATCCTTTATTCTGCTTCTGCTTCTCTGCTTTCAGCGACTCGGTCATTCTTCTCATTATCTTCATTTAGGAGCAGCAAATCAAATGCGAAGAAAGCTTGATAGATTTCAATATTGTTCAATTTCATCATCTGAAATCAAATGAGCATGGATTTCGTACAGACGTACAGATTTAGTAAATATGCCGTACCTTTTTTTTTAAAATTTTTATTTTTAAGTGTAAATTTTATAACACAATTACAGAGCTATTTTCCTTAAAACTATAAAAAAAAAATTATTTTTAAGTGTAAATTTGATAACACAATTACAGAGCTATTTTCCTTAAAACTATTTTCATGTTTTTGCATCACAAGGGTACTGTTTACTACTTGGAAGGATGCTTTTGGGATTTATTTTCAAAGGAGTAATGTGTCAAAATGGTCCTCTATCATTTTGCAGCGTGTCATTTTAATCCCGAGTTTATAAAAAGTATCAATTTAATAGTTCCAGTGTGGATTATTTTAGCCTTACTAAAAATATTTGGGACTAATTTAAAGCTTTTTTGAACTGGGACTAGAATGATCTCAGGTAAATGGTTGGGACTATTTTGACACTGCACTCATTCACCTACAGTAATTAATTGATTTCAAACGGTTTTTAAACTGCCTAAACCTTAAGCTACTTCTAATCTTCATTACCTTGTACTGATATTGTATCAGGAAATCTACCTGCATACCATACAATTCCTGGATATTTATGTATATAGCACCTAAATTTTCATGCATAGCACCCAAATTTTTAATGTTGCGATAAAATTACCATTATTGTTTACTTTTAGTAGTGAAACGCACACTTCCATGTGTAAATTTATGGCTCCAAAAGGTTATAGTAGTAATTATAAATAACACACCACACTATTCTTGCTTGTGTATTTACATGTCAATCTAAACCTTTTATTGTATTGCTTCTACAACACTAGATCTTTAATATCACATTAAAAACACCATTATACCTATATACCACCAAATTCATATTTATTTACATATCTAACACGTAAACTTTTTTTTTTTTTGTTACATTAAGACCACCAAAATCATTCATACAACATAAAAAATGCCACCATTCACACTTTTATAAAGCGAATGCATCTTTTTATACATAGATAAGACGTCATGTACGTAAAAATTAAAATTTACGTATTTGATATGTAAATACATAAGAATTAAGTGGTATGTATGTAAATCTTTCTTTTTATTTTATATTGTGTTCATGAATTTGTTGATTATATAGAAAACAATGCTCATTTGAAGATATGTATGAAGAAATAGTTTTCAGGGTTGATGTTTATGGGGGAAGAGAATCCAAGAAATATTGTAAATAAAAAATTTTATGAATATTTAATAATTTAGTGGTTATTTTATTTATTTAATTGTTTGGATGTAAGTGCAAGGTGGCAGGAAAATTATTGAGGGTCAAATTGAGCAATTGAATGTGATTTTAAATTAAAATGCGTGGCAATAATAGACATGAGATTGAAAAGTAATTATATTATATGACCGATGAGTAGGATATTCCCATTTACATTCATAGCACCCAATTCTTTTGTATTTACATATATAACACCTAGACTTTCCCTTTTTTCTGAATTTATACCCCCCAAATGTTTCATATCATATAAAAATATCACTATTTTTACTTTTAAAAGAGATGCATATATGTAAAATGACATATATGTAAAAATTAAAATTTAGGTGTTAGATATGTAATTGCAAAAGTGATATGCATGCAAACCTTCCCTAAAATTCAAAAATAATGTTAGGCAATTTTAATTTCTCATATAGTGAATAGAAGATGTTGTTTTATAAATAATGATAAATTTAGTATTTCATGGAGTGATTGTATTATGGAGGGTGATGTGCAAAGCCTATTATCATTGAAGATAAGATTGTGACATGTAAAATTATTATTTGATGACATGCAATAATTTATAGAAATGTAAGAAAAAATTATAATAACTTAATCATGAAGGATTTATGATAAATTTAATAATTTATTTGTTGTGTTTATAATGAATGAATAACCATTCATATAAACAAATTTCAGGCCTGTTTGGCGCAGCTTATTTCGTGCGGTGCGTTTTGAAAATGCATCCAGACCCTTTTGGGTAAACTGTGTTTTGGCAGCTTATTCAAAAAATTAGATTTTCAAACCACGAAAATCAACGTTTTCACACCTTCCTGACTAGGTGCAGTTGCAACTTTCTATAAGTGGTATGTGGTCTGGCTTTTTGAATAGCAGATTATTTTTCAACAAGTTATTAATAAGATGTGGCTACCCCAAAAAGAATAATGTAACTATGTAATCATAAGTTGTCAGAGAATAATGTGTATTGCTATGTAATTACAAGAACATTTGTGTATTGCATCACAAATTTAAAGATATTCATAATAAAAAATGGCCCCTCAATTATCTTGTTCCCATAAAATACTTATATTTCATAACTAGATTTTAATATTTTCATTAAAATGTCAAATAAATTTGACAAGCACTCAACAATTTGGGACACGTCATCACTTTTTTTTTTTTTAAATAGCAGCCATGTACTAATTAAAGTGTAATTAAATATTTATTTTCTAAATATCTTTTCATGTATTATAATCCTTCTCAATTAAATTATAGCAAGAAGCATCCAAAGAGAAAAAAATAAAAAAAAAATACCAAAGTTTTGACGTGCTGTCTAAGATTTTGTCATCAACTTCAATTTTAATCAATAAATTTGATTATTCTACGTGCACTTTCCAAATACAAACACGTATACGAGAAAATGTTACCGCACATTCGGACAACATGTTAGATGGATCGCCGTGCGATACACGGCGGTGTGATCCTATACAGACCATCGTCCGAACGTACTATCAATCTCACGTAAATGCCGTAAGAATATCGGACCATTTATATCAGGTTGTTTTTAATAAAAGGAGTTTATAGAAGTGTCAAAATAATCTCCGACTATTTTAAAATTAAGTTATAATAACTAAAACGGTCTTAAATAAATAATAAATTTTTGAATATTTATACTAAATAATATTTATCTTTGAGAAAATCTTAACCGAAGACTTGTAAGGTTAAACGCCAATAAGAAAATTCAATAAATTATAAAATATTTATTTAGAATATTAGCGCCGTCCCACGTGCTATATTTCTTGAAACTTTTTGAACAGCTGAGGACCGAAATGAAGGAAAAAATCTCACCAACCAAACTTACAAATCCTCTTATAGTTAAATTGTTAAAAATACATTATTACAATTAGGGCTGTCAAAACTGCTCGTTGTTCGCGAACAGCTCTTTTTCGGCTCGTTAAAAAGCTCGTGTTCGATTCGTTAATTTTGTTCAATAAAATATGTTGGTTCGTGTTCGGCTCGTTTTGGCTCGAAATACTAATCAAGTTTATATATATATATAATAATGTTTTAATATAAATAATAATTTTCAAATCTTGCTCAAACTCTTATTGTCTTATGACTACATGATTAGGGTTGTTAAAAGGACTCTTTGTTCGTGAACAACTCGTGTTCTGCTCGTTCAACAAACGAGCCGAACACGAACACACTTTTTGAGCTCGAAATATAAACGAGCCAAACACGAGCCGAGCATGCGTTTACACCCCTAATTACAACAATAACCTTATTTATTTATTTTAGTTTTAATTTAATTATATTTGAGGTATGTATTTTTTATTTAATAAATATGAGCAATGACACGTTATTTTGAAAATAGCTCTTGCTTTTTTTAATTTTTGTCGTGCTTATAAAGTGTTGAAGTGGCAAAATAGTCTCGTGTCTTTTTGCACGGATCTGTTTCATTGTTTAAAGTAGGAAGATTTGCATAATTAACACTTAATTAATATGTATTTACATATTTAATACCTAAAAAAAGAAGTGGGCGAAGGTTATTGGACGAGCCTCAGTCATCCTAGGTGTGTTAAATACTTAAGTACAACACCCTAGATACGGGGGATCGGAACCCGTGACCTGAGGGAATTTACGACTTTTAGAGAAGTTGTTCTACCAATAAGTCACGGAACAGGCACAACGTGTGCGCTTATATATATATATAACCTTATTTACATATGAATATGTTGAGAAATTAGGGCGAAGAAAAACATGAATAGACACAGATCCAGAAAAGCATAAAAAGATTTAACGAGGTTCGACAAAGATGCTTACGTCATCGGGAGAAGAGCGGCGGCTTTTTCTTCAATTCAGAAAAGAATATAAAATACATGCCTATATATAACTCTGGAGTATAATATGTAATTACAAAATTACCCCTATACCGTACCGCGAGGGCCCCAACCCACATAACGAAACTCCTTTGATTGGATAGATGATTCTGCTTCACTCCGCTCGCAAGCTCTGTTACGCTCGCTCGCTCGCTCTGTTTTGCTCCAGCATTTGTCTCTTATCTGATATATAAGACATACCTAAGAGAATAATTGTATTTCAACTTTTAAAAGTTAAAATATTAGTATTTTTTATGTGATATGAAATAATTGGGTGGTAAAAATATAAGAAATAGAGATGTTGGAATCCCACTCGTTACACGGGACGATGTGAGTGTCTTACGCTTTGGACCGAAAGCCGGCATCTCAGCTTCTAGACCGAATGCAAGGCCTCCGAGTTTAGGGTCGTGAATTTAACTCGAAAATTGATTCTAATTTTGGCTACATGTCATTCCATGTTATTTGAAATCCAAAATTTAAATTTATTATTGTAATATTTTATTTGAATTTTAATAATAATATTATTATTCCGTTATTATTTGGGTTCTCTGATATCAATTTAGGTGTTAAATATGTAAATAAATTAAAATTGGGTGGCATTATTTTAATAATAAGATTTAGATATATATCACTCCATTCTTATATATTTACTCATCTAAACCTATACTTTAATTTCTACATAAATGTCTGATTTTACATTTGCATGAACAGATTATTTCATTTTTTTTAGTTAGAATTAGGGGTGTAAATGAACCATTCACGAACAAAGAGTCGTTTTGACAACTCTAATCACATAGTCATAAGATGTTAAGGATTGAGTCAAGATTTAAAAATTATTGTTTCTATTAAAAGAACATTTGGATCTAATTTAATAATTTTTATTATATTTCTTAATTAATACTTTTAATTGATTGTAAATCCTTGTAGCATTGTAGGTAATTAATTTTTTTAAAAATACGATTCATTATAATTGATTAGTAGTATTTC